TTATGTCTGTTAATATTTGCTTTATGTATATAGGTGTGAAATTAAATATTTTTAATGGATGTTCATTTATTTATAAGTCTTTCCTCTTTTTTCTCCATTCTCCCCTTTTCCCTGTACAGTGTCTGCACATTTGTTTTCTTGCTTTTCACCATTAACATATTTGGAGATGGTCGTAGTACTTCTCCATACATAACAGCCATGCTATATATATATGTGTGTGTGCCTCTCTCCATTCCCAAGGAAGGGAGGATCAGATTCTCCAGATGTGGGAAGGAACCCCCAGAAGGTGTTCAGTATTGTAATTGTTTTGAATCATTTTTGTCAACATGTTTAGTTTATGTTTCAATTTAAGATTATATTTAAAAGAGCACACCAGGTGTTTTGTTTATTAAAATGGATCTTGGGCTTAAAATGGTAAGAATCTCTTATTTAAAACTGTGGCTTTAAGTGATTTTTTTTTCAAATTTATAGAAACACTTTTACTTTTTAATAAAGAGTTTTTCCCAAACGAATTGAAGAATGACATGGCATTCCTAGTAGGAGATATTCTGTATTTGATCTGAACCAATTTTGCAACTTATATAAAAATACACTTATTCCTTTCACTATTAATACTTTTGCCTCAGATAAAATACCCAGGAGCCGATATGGATATCACTTTATCTGCCCCATCATTTTGCCGTCAAATCAGTCCAGAGGAATTTGAATACCAGAGAGCATATGGCTCTCAGGAACCTCTGGCAGCTTTGCTGGAGGAAGTCATAACAGATGCCACACTTTCCAGCAAAGAGAAGAAGAAAAAACTGAAGCAGGTAAAAAGGATATTCTTTAGAAGCCATTTCTTCTGCCTGCTGTTCTTAATATTGTTTTTTCTTTTTATTCTCTATTTTAATGGATTTCATATTAATCTTATCTTCTGAGATGTAGCAGTTTCAAAAGTATATTATTCAATTCATATATTTCAGAAGTCTCTTGGATGTACGCAGTTGTGGTCAGTTTCCCACATCTTTTTCTCCAATGTAGATATTTTACCATTATTGCGCTCTTCATTTATGGAGCCGCTCTTTGTTATTTGTCCTTTGTTTGGGTATGTGGATGGCTAGTGGAGCAATTACTTTAAATTCAGAGAAGCTTTCAAATGAGGACAGATTCCTCTTGATTTTTTCTGAAAGGCAAATTACATTGAATTTGCAGAAATAAGATGTGTAAAATTGAAGAGGCTTTGGTTTTAGATAGCCAGTATCAAATTGGTTTCTTGCCTCAGGCATCCCTGAAAGTGTTTAGTTCCTGCTAGGCAACACAGCTTTGGGTTTCATTGAAGAGTTTTCATTTTTAACTCAAAATAGATTTACTTTGACCATTCTTAAAGTATTGACTCAAGATTAAGGGAATGGTTTTTATTTTTCAAGACTGATTCCTGCAAGCTTGATTCCTGATCATACCGTACATATGGGATTATACACAGAGCACCAGAGTTCTAGACTCCCAATCGTATTTTTCTCAGTAATTTTGGAGAAGAGTTCAGTGTTGAGGATCAAAGGAAAAGCATATTGCCTCTCTTTAAGCTTTTCATAAAGTAATATATACTGGAACGTTTTCACTTCCATTTGAGCAGAAGCAGGTGGGGCTGAGTTGGAGAAGCAGGGAGATCGTGAAATGTAATTGGGCCAAAATTTTCTTGAACTGTATAGAACATAAGTTATTTTCAAGTCAGAATTACTTGTGAATATTTTTAAAGTCTATTTATAGTTAGCAAGCGGGGGAAATTTTAAGAAATATGACCGAAATGAGTTTGTTTGAAGATTGGATCAAATTAAAGTTGAATTAGATCTATAGCAAGTGGAATCAAATGATCTCACAAAAAGAAATGGATTTGTGTTGGAGTGAATTTAATTATGATTTGTCATCATCTTATTCTCTTTTCTGATGGAGAGCAATAAACATTAAAACAAAATAAAGACAGCCTAGTATGGAATCAGATCAGAAACTCTTTAATTTTAAAATTAGATCACCTACTTTTATTGGTTCTTATCTGGTTTGTTTTTTTTTTTCTTACCTGGTTTTTTGACTCATCTTGAGTCTTTTTTTTTTTTTTTTCAGTTTCAAAAATCCTATCCTGAAGTCTACCAAGAACGATTTCCTACACCAGAAAGTGAAGCACTTCTGTTTCCAGAGAAACCGAAACCCAAACCACAGCTGCTAATGTGGGCACTAAAAAACCCTTTCCAACCATTTCAAAGAACTAGAAGTTTTCGGATGTAGTATGTCCATAGCTGTTAGAGATCTCTGTTGTTGTTGCCTCGAGCAGATGGGTGGTTAGAGGACTATGGCGGTGGAAGAAAGAAGAGCAGACAATAGAGACTACTGAAATATAAAGTGAATGGACTTCTAAAAATGTTGAGCCATTATCAGTATTTTTGTAAAGCTCAGTGCTATTTTTAAAAGTGTAAAAATCAGTTAAAATTTAGACAAATATATAGTGTTAATGTTAACGTGTTTATAATTGTTACAAAATTTAAGGGTATTTTTATTTTTTTATTTGTTGTTTTTCATGGTGTTAATAAAATAATTGTGTGTACATTTTAGTTACTGATGTCTTTGTTATAACATGTCTTAAAAATAGTGTATATACTTGAATAAGAAAGACACTGGGTACTGTTACTGTGATGCTATTGATGTCATAGCTTAATAGTTGTGATTTCTCTGTGTAAAATCTGGTTTTCAATGTCGCACAAAAATTCTTAATGTCCTATATTATGATGGCTGTGTCTTCTATTGCGGATTCGTTGGATGTTATGACAGATATAACTAAAGCTGGTTCTTTAATAACATATATATTAGCTGGTGTTTACCTCTAAGTGGAGTAGATTTTCATTTTCCTGCAGTGGTGTGATTTCAGTCTTGGCTGAAAACGGAGAATTGAACTGAATAAACTTTTTGGTCCCCTTACACCTGTAATTGTAAGTCAGATCTTTGTTATTTCATGAAAAACACAAATGGGTTAAGGAAAATGAGACTACTTCCTTTATATTTCCCCCAGCTTCCTCATCCTTTTGAAAGTAAATGGAATGTAAATAAATACTGTTTTTTGTTTTTTTATATTTTATGTGGTTCTGCTTTGGCCTTTATTTAGGTTAGTTGTAGAACATCCTCAAATGCTAAACATCATTATCTTTGCCAGTGTTCTCACATCAGTCACTTATTTCTATGATAAGTGACATTTAGGTTTTTGTACTAACCTTAAGGAGGTGCTTTGTCCATTTCTTTTGCTTTGCTTTGCCCTTTTGCAAATAATGGTACACTTAGATTATGGAGCATCTGGAAGCTTTCTTTATAAGCAATTACCCTAAATCTTAAGCGTAACAGTCAGTAGTTGGCTTGTTCTGCCCTTTGGACTGAATTTTCCTTGCCATTGTGATCTGACCCTGTTCTTTTGTAGCAGATGCTTCCTACATTTGATTCAGATTTTGTTTACTTAAAAATGGATAAAAGTATTCCTATTGATTTGGGTACCACCTTTCCTTCCAAATATATAAAGTAATGGGAGATTTTTAGTGTTTCAATATTTGTTTTCAGACCTTGGAATAATGTCTAGAGCAAAGAATAAGTCTACTTCTGCTTTCTTTGCTCTCCAATGCAGAATGTACTTTCCAGAGTCTCCTCTCCTATTGAATATCTTTAGAAATATATGCGACTGTTTTTTTATTCCCTTAAGATTACATTTTTTAAAAAGATTTATTTATTTATTTTAGAGAGAGAGCACGGGGTGGGAGGGGCAGAGGGCGAGGGAGAGAGAGAATCTCCGGCAGACTCCCGGCTGTGCGAGGAGCCTGATGTGGGGCCTGATCCCACTACCCTGAGATCATGACCTGAGCCAAAATCAAGAGTCAGACGCTTTACCAATTGAGCTACCCAGGTACCCCAAGATTACTTTAAAGAAAAAAGTATAATTTACTAAAACATCACCACTACTTAAGTATGAAATTGCTGAGTGGATAATACCAGTCTTTCAAAGTGGTTGTACAGTGAACTCCCATTGGCAGTGTGAGTTCTTTTTGCTTAATGTTCTCACCAAAAGTTGCTATTGTCAGTTTGAATTGTCATCAGTGAGGTGGGTGTATAATTGTATCTCATTATGGTTTTACTTTGATTTATTAATATGGCTAAAGATGAAGACTTTTTCCATATTTTTTTTACTTTTTCCACTTCTAGTTAAATTTAAACATCAGCTTGTCAAGCTTCATGTGTGCATGCGCACATACACACACACACACACACGGAGTTGGGATTTTGATTTGGATTGTATTGAATTTATAAATCAATTTGGAAAGAATTGCTATCTTTACAATATTAAGTCTTCCAGTTGAAGAACATGGTTTCTCTCTCCATTTATTTAGAATAAATGAGAGAAAAAAAAATTCTCTGTAAAGTCTTGTAAATCTTTTGTTAGGTATGTTCCTAGATATTTGATACTTTTTAAAAAACGTAAGTATCAAAATTCTCAAATATTCACAGAAGTAAAGATAGTAGTACCCATCCCTAACTTCAGTAATTATTATTCAACTGATAAATACCTTGATGTTTGATCATACTGTAAATGGGGTTATTTCAAAATTTCTACTTTCTGTTTCTTGCTCATATATAGCATAAAACTGATTTTTGTGCACTGATTTTTATACCCAACCTCCTTGCTAGACTTTCCTATTAATTCTAAGTGTCCAGTGTGATTTTTTTGGATTTGCTACACTTACTACATAATAAGCAAACAATGACAGTTTTTTGTTTTTCATTTCTGTGGTTGACAGCATTTAAAATGTCCCCAGTGATCCCTGCCTCTTGGTATTTGTCCCAGTGTGTAATCTTTCCTTGAGTGTGAGTTGGATCTAGTGAGATATTTCTAACAAACAATATGGCAAAACGATAGGATATCTCCTTTGAGATTAGATCACAAAAAGGCTCTGGTTTCCATCTTGCTTGCCGTCTCCCTCTCTCTCTCCCAGGCCTGCTCTGAGGAAAGCCAGCCGCCCTGTGTGAGCTGCCCTACGGAGAGGCCCCTCAGGCAAGAAACTCCTGTCTGCCTACTAGCTAGTGAGGATACGAGGCCTGCCAACAGCTGTATGATCTTGGAAGTGGATATTCTGAGGCCTGCCCGCCGCCACGTGAGTGATCTTGGAAGCACATTCTCTCAGTCAAGCCTTGAGGTGAAGGCAGCCTTAGCTGACACCTTGACGGCAGCCTGGGACAGGCCCTGAGCCAAAGGACTCAGCTAAGCTGTGCCTGGATTCCAGAGCCACAGAAACCGTGAGGTGGTAAATATTGGTTGTTTCTAGCCACTTAGTTTTGGGGTAATTTGTTATGACGCGATAGATACAATACACTTAATTCTTATTCCCTCCCTTACTCCCTCCTTCCCTTCGTCCCTCCTTTTATCCTTCCCTCCGTCATTTTTTTTAATTATTATAAAATGTCACTATCTCTGGTAATGCATTTGTTTGCAGTCTTTTCATTTTGTTATATTTTAGTTGTGTCCCTTATAAACAGCATATGGTTGGATTAATTATTTTTTTAAGATGCCAGCATGACAATTTTTGTTTCTAACTGTAATGTTTAGACAAATTATATCTAATATAATTACTCTATATTTAGATACAAATATTTATCGATGTTTTATAGCTCTTTGTCTCCACTTCCTTGACTTAGAATTTTACAAATCATTTCATGTTTTCTCCTACTAATTTGAAACTAAACACTGTTTCTAATCTTCCTTTTGGGTCCTTGAAAATTACATCTTATATACTAATTTATCAAAGTTTAAAGTTAGTAAATACATTTTACCCTCCTCTCAGACTGTTCAGGGACCTTAAAGCACTAATAACACTCCCCCCCCCAAAACAGATAATGTTCTGTGATGTATTTTAATTTCATTGTTTTTAAACCTCATACTATGTTGTTTTTATATGTAACCCTTGTTTATTAGACTTACCCATATTTTACCACGTTTTTCCTTCTTCTGAGAGTACATTCTTTAGAATTTATCTTCGGTGTGTGCTGGTTTTTGTCTGAAAACTTTTTAATTTGGCCCTTACTCTTTTTTTTAAAAATAGCTTTATTGAAATGTAATTCACATACTATAAAATAACCCATTTAAAGTATATAATTCTGTGGCTTTTGGTAGGTTACAATTTTAATTTTTTAAGTTGTGATTAAATATATATAAAAAAATTTGCATTTTAATCATTTTTAAGTGTATAATTCTGTATAAAGAACACCTTCATTCTCTACAGATATTTCTGCTATTTATAGAATTCCAGGTGGAGGGTTATTGTATTTCAGTACATTGTAGGTATTCCTTTGTTAGCTGGCTTCCTTTGTTACCTCTTTGTAGATAACATGTCATGTTTTGGCAGGCTGCTTTTTAAGATTTTCTCTTTGTCTTTGGTGGTCTGTGGTTTACAATGACATACCTAGTTTATATAATATACTCTTTAAATGATCATTCTGCTTGGTATTTGTGGGGCTTCTTAAAAAAGAGGATCAAGGTCTTTTACCATTTTATTTTTTAAAAAATATTTATTTATTTTAGTGAGAAAAAAATGCAGGTGAGGGAGAGAGAGAGTGAGAGGATCTCAAGCAGACACCCCACTGAGCAGGGAGCCGAAGGTGGGGCTTGATCTCATGACCCTGAGACCACGACCCTGAGATCATGACCTGAGCCGAAATCAAGAGTCAGAAGCTTAACCAACTGGGCCACCTAGGTGCCTCTCTTTTACCATTTTAAATACTGCCTTTGTCATAATCTCTCCTCTGCTTATGATTCTTAAACATATTTTAGAGCTTTTCACCCTATCCTCTCTCTTAATCTTTCACGTACCTTCCATATTTTTGCCTTCCTATGCTGCATTCTAGATAATTTCTTTACTCTGTCTTCCATTTCAGCACATCTCTCTTCAGGTGTGTTTAGTCTCCTGTTAAATTGGAATTTATTTTGGAATTTACATCCAGTTTACAGCTCAGGAAACCGAGAGTCAGGTTGAGTAACTTCCTCAAGATCCCCCAGCTTGTGAACAGCATAGTCAACGACGACAACCTGCTCTGTGGGGCTGCACAGCCCGGCTCCAGACTCTCACTGAGCACTGCTTTATCATGTTTATGAGCACTGGGTGGATATTTATGTAGAAGCGTGCACATTATTTTTCGGTTTATACTTTCTAAAACTTAAGCGCTCAAATTTCTTTTTGATTTGTAGTGTTTTCTTTGTTCTAACCTAGCTTTGCCAAATTCATTTCCACTGTTTCTCTGGTCATTTTCTATGAATATCTGCTGAAAATTTTTCACTGAATTTCCTGCGTATTTCCACAAATACTGCAACAGTGCTGAAACCAGAGTATTTCTTAGAAGCTCTGTGGTGCAATCAGGTATTTCTTTGTAGGTATGCCTTTTAAGGTATTATTATGTGCAATTGCTTTTGTTTTTAGGTCTGATGAGTAGAAAATGTCCTAGGGATTGTCATTAATCTGAGAGACTATGATAAGGAATTATCAAATGAGTGTTCCATACAGAAAATTTGAGGGTTCTACAGCACATTTCAAGGTTGAGTGTATCTCGGGTATAAACAGAGTAATGGGATTCAGCCATTCTTCATTCTGATTTCTCATGCATCTTTGTATTCCTCTATCTGCCTTCAGGGAAGTCATAGCTGGGCTCTAGCAAACATAGTAGATGTATCTGTCATGACTTAGCATTTGTGTTACCCAGGAGCTTGATTCTGATTCCCATACCCAGAAGAGAGTTTCTGTACATTTTTATAGGAAATATAACTTAAAAAGAGTCAGTATTTGTGAACCGTTGATGGTCAAGAAGAGGATACTGAATGTTTCTATATTTAGAATGTCACAAAATCTTCTGTCATGATTGAAAGAGAAATCAATTAAAATGGTTCTTTACTATATGGGTGTGGCTGAATCTTTATTATTTTTACCTTTACCCTGAAGAACAAAACCTGGCAAATGTTAAAGTCCTGGAGGTAAAGTAAGAGTGTTCTTACCTACTAAATCAGTATTAAGAGGCAATTCAACTGTATGTCTATCCATCATCATAGTATTTGCCCAAATTTTAAGTGTTTACTTCAAAATGAGACACTGGAAATTCTGATTTTGTGATATTTGGAATCATTTTGCACTTGCATTTTCTTGCTAATGACACCATAACCTGCAAAAAAGTATAACATCTTGGGGCACCTGGCTGGCTCAGTCAGTTAGGTGGCTGCCTTTGGCTCAGGTCATAATCTCAGGGTCCTGGGATCGAGCCCCACATTGGGCTCCTTGCTCAGCAGGGAGTCTGCTTCTCCCTCTCCCTTAGCCCTTCCTCCTCCCCCTGCTCATGCTCACACTCTCTCTCAAATAAGTAAATAAAATCTTAAAAAAAAAAAAAGAACATAATGAGTAACTTCTGATGGATTTTTTTGTGTGTGTTTTAGTGTCTATGTAACCTCAATGTTTCAACTTCCAATTTGAGAAAATGAAATGGGGAAAATAATGGGACAACAGGGTACTAGCCCATTAAAAAATAAAAAATGTCACATGTTTAGTGCATATTTGTGTTGCTCTGTAAATTTCATAATTCAGTGAATCTAAGATTTAGTTTAAAAACCATTTACAGTTTTTGCAGTTCCATTGTGGAGAATTGTTAAGTGAATTGTTTGCTTCACTTGAGTATCTAGAATAAATTATAGTTTCCATAAACTGTCCCTGTCTCAAAACAAAAAATAATATATGTATTTGGCTGGGTGTATTCCTGTATAATACTTCGATTGGGGCTCTTCTATCAAAAACTGAGAACAGTACCCAGAGCCTTGTTTAGGGCATAAAACAGAAGTTATTCTCCCTGCTTCCAGCCTCCACAAATTTTCCTTCTTGTTGCCAGCATCTCTCTAATAGTAATAAGATGGTCTTCTTGAGTATTCTAGTAAAACACATAAAGCTTAATTTAAAAAAACTCAGAGGACTAAAAATCATTTTATTTTCATAAGAAATAAGTAAACTACAATTGATATTTAAGAATTGAAGTACCTTTGATCAGTGTAGGGTAACCCAACATGGGCATGAAGAGGTCTTTTGCTCACTGTTTCCACTAAGAACTTGTGCCCTGTGGAAGGGTTTTGGCAACAAACATTTCAGTGATAATTTACCAAGATAGCGGAATGGTTTGCTGTGAAAAATAGTTATGCCAGGATAAAATGCAGTCTCTGATTTTGAGAGCCTATGATTCCAGTTTATTTCTATTTACTGATGTATACGTTATCTATCTATCTATATATATTTTTAAAGATTTTATTTATTTATTTGAGAGAGAGAATGAGAGACAGAGAGCATGAGAGGGAAGAGGGTCAGAGGGAGAAGCAGACTCCCTGCCGAACAGGGAGCCCGATGCGGGACTCAATCCCGGGACTCCAGGATCATGACCTGAGCCGAAGGCAGTCGCTCAACCAACTGAGCCACCCAGGCGCCCTACGTTATCTATATTTTAAAAAAATTCGGTGTGTTTTAGCAAAATCACATCATGCAAAAGATGTTTTGAAGATGAGAAGCGTGTGGCTGAACGTTTCTTCACATGAGATCTTAAGACAGACCATAAAATGAGGCATAAAGGAAAAGAACAGCAGAAATGAGCCTTCTTGCTTACTGATTCTGCTTATTTTTTCATTAAACATAGGATTTTGCCCATATGCAAGTTTGTCCTAAAGATTCTAATCTTAAAAAAGCTTTCTGACTTAGAAACCAACAACAAGACAGAAGAAAGAGAAATTAAGGAGTCGATCCCATTTACAATTGCACCCAAAACCATAAGATACCTAGGAATAAATCTAACCAAAAAATTTAAGACTTTTCTAAAGGGAATGTATAAGGTGGTCAAATCTGATTGGATAATACTGCTTCAGTGTTTAACTCTTAATAATTACCTGAAGCAATAATTAACATTTAAAATATACACTGACATCATTTGTAAATTTCTTTAAACTTTCTACTCATCAAAATGCCAAGTATAATTAGCCACAATTACTGCTTAAAGATGATGAAGGCTTTGATTTCAGGAAGTTCCTCACTCTTCTTTTCACAGAGAATTGAATTCAGTGATCTGTTAAGGCCCTAGGAGGGGTCTGGTTTAGGCCGACTCTTCAAAAGTCATGACCCATCTAACAAGGACAGATGATCCCAGGAGGGGCAGTCTTGTGTTGGTAATGATTGTACCATAAGGGAAAAACTAGAGATTTTATTTAAAAGTTCTGTATATTTTATATAATTAGTAAGCCATTAATTGTGGAAATAAGAAGCTTGAAAATTGATCATCTTTATTGTGACAGAAGTAACTGTGGGTAATATTCTGGCTCCTGTATGAGCACATTTTTCTCCAAAGCCCCACAGGGCTCTATTGCTTGCTAAGCACTCTTCAAAAGTGGGCAATAAATGGTAAAAATGAGCAGTTATATACATGCAGCAGCAGATAACTTGGGTTAAATGTCAGGTTATTAGATTTTAAGGTGAAAAAAATTGCCTGCGAAATTCATTTTGAGGAAAAAACCACAGAGGTAGGATAATTTTGTGCAAGTCAGCCCCTTGCCTCAGCTACTTTTCCTGCAATGTGGCAAGAACTGCCTGCTCTCTTTCCTTAGAATAAATCTTGTTTTACTCCTATTCCTCAGACTCATTTTTTGATCTCTAAACCAAGCCCTTTATAGTAAGTGTGGAAATCGCATCTGGGGTAAAACATGAGTTTACCAATGATGTTTTTGGAGTTGACCGTATCAGCACTGTATAAGCAGTCCCATAAGCAGAGCCCAGGAAACAGCTTAGAGGTCACTGCGAAGATGAGTGACTTTATCTGAGGCGAGCCACCTGTTAGAGAAAATAAACATATGCAAGGAGACTGAAGGTGGTGGAGGGAACACTGTGTTAGCAACTGCAGTGGAGGGGAGAGCTTGGGGAGGCTTTCCTCTCCCTCCCCCGAAAGAAACATGACTAAGGAAACACTGTAATTGCTTTGCAAATGTCACCTCTAGGCAAGACTCTTCCTCCCTTCTTTCCAACTAAATTAGTACCCAAAGGTCCTTCCCACTAGGATGTATAACACCAATATTGGTTAGACATCAGAATATGTGGGTTTTCAACTGTAGCTCTACCAGTAAGCAGTTGGGCAGTCACATGCTCTCTGGGTTTTGGTTTCCGCAGTAAAGGGATGGGATTGGATTTCAAGGGTCACAAACTCCAATGTCTTCTGGGGACGGGAAGATATTAGAAGTTGCTAGGAGTGAAAGGGCCAGTGGAGGGTTGGAGTATGCGAGTCCTACACCAGAGTATTTGAAACAAAAACAAAATGTCAAATGCCAGTGATGGCCAAAAAAATACGATGTGCAGAGATGACAAAATTTGCATTAGGTGAGCTGTAAGGTCGCTTCTGGTCCTGGTGTTTGGTGATTTTTTTTTTTTTTTAACCTTTTCCCACGCTTGGTCCTTTAT